TTTAGAGTGTTTGAAAAGAAGATTTTTATAATACTAATTGAGTTAATGTTTCAAAGATATTGTAATAAATTTAGTTTATTATATATATAAAGAGAAAAAAATAGGGGCAATTACAAAAATACCACTTTTGTGTACACATTTGCAAGAATGCCACTTAGGGGTGTCTATTTCAAAACTGCCACTAATTATAGATTTATAAAGCCTATATCTTAAAATTATAAAGCCTAAAAAATATTTTGACCCCTAAAACCCCATAAACCCTCATAACTAACCCCTAATAGAACATAATTAATCCAAACATAAATAATATAAAGAACAAATAATTTTGAAAAAGTGGTATTTTTGTAAAGATTACAAAAATGTGGCATTTTTGTGAAGTGGCACTTGAAAAGTGACATTTTTTAAAATTTCTCAAAAAAGTAAGGACTAGAAACAGGATTGTTGTAAATACAAATTACCATAATAAGAATATATTAAATTAAATAGAAATTTGTAAGTTTAGTAAAATAACACATGCAAACTTATATGGTGCTTTTTCGGTTTAAAAGTTTATCGAATTACAGCTCCAGTTACCATACTAAACCAGATTATATTATATATTAGAGATTGCCCATGCGTTGCGTGGATTTAAACATTAACATTGTAAAATATGCAATAATTCTACATTATTGATTATTTGTCTATTTAATATTTCAAACAATTGTTGTTGTAAAAAATAATTATATAGGTTAGAAAATTAAGCATTTGGAGCAAATTGTTGGACATATATAATGTTATATGTGAAAGAAATAGTCTGTTCATTAATAAAAATTAAGCGTATGCATATGGAAGATATCTTCTTTTACACAAATCCGCAACTTGTATGTCTTTATCATTATTCACTACGGTTCTCTAAAAAATGATTGGTTGTCTTCTTTATTGCATCAAATACGTTTGTAATAATAACTTATTAATCAGACAAGTTGTAGTATGTTTTGCTTCTATCGAGAAACCTGCATTATCTCTACAGAGATATTGGAATGCATCTTTGTATATTATTTCGTAGAACCTTAAATTGTAAGGAAAAAATAATTGATTTTGATTGTATTTTTTGTGTCACTCTTTCTATCGTTTTCTGCGAATTTATATTTCACATTGATTCATTTGTGAATTATTATGTTTTTCTGGATTCACAATTTATGGAGGACTAAGGTTTCCTTTCGAGAGTATTGGTTAGGAAATGATTGACAACTTTAGCATTCTAACAACCTTAAAATTTCTAAAATTACTAATTAATTTTTTCACTCTACTTTTTTTGGTTAATGTTACGACTTTTTTATAAAAGTTTTTTGTGACTTTTGTTTTAAAATGGTAGT